CCGAATCTTTCGGCTCGGGCCATCCTGCGACGGAATCTTTCTTTGCTCTTCCTCCACGGCGCTCCCTGTGGTCTCTGGGTTTTTGTCACAATGGCATTCCAGCTCGTGGAACAATCCCGCTTGCCTCGCGTCCCCTCCCCCAAACAGTTGTCCCGCGTCTCCTCCTCCTCCACCACCTCCTTCGAATTTCTCGCCAAACTCCCGCTGTCTTTGGAGGCGAGCCTTGTGCAGCCACGCGTCCCGTTCGAGCCAAATATTAACCGCCCTGTCCTGCACTGCATTGGCTGATTCCTATTGCAGCCGTCCGCTCCATTCCACAGTTGCCATGATCATTCATGCCATCAGTAGCATGGAGATCTTGACTTAAAAATGTGGGCAGACTTATTAATGGGTTGTGTGTGTGTTTTAGAGGGGCGCTCATGTTTGTGTGTGTGTGTTAGTGCATCACACACACGTGTGCTAACGTCACTTGCCGTTACAGTCTGTTAAGGCTATACGGGGGATCTTTATCTTTGCAGCAGTGGTGGTGTATTGGTTTAAACACTGCATCACAGGCACGGTTACCTGTGTTCGAAATCCGCTCACGACCGACATCAGTGGCGAATATCTGGGCTGGTCCTGTCAAATCAGCCTTGACCGAGTACCTGTTGTGGTATGTAAATATCAACTCTGGGGAGACAAAGGTGGTCGGGAATTGTGCCAGCCACACCAAACCCTCTTGCGCCGTACCGTTCTTCATACGTGCTCTGTAGGAGCACTTGTCCCAAGATGATGTATCCCTGTCTGGGGACCCTTTGTCTTTTGTTTGCATCAGCCCTCCTCCAACAATATGGGGGGGGGGGGGGACAAGCGATGTTCACAACAATAAGCAGAGCGCCGGGTGGCTAAAACACCGGGGAGTGTGAAGCAGTCGTGCACCAGTCACCCGCGTCGGTTGTTCACCCACAACATCAGGGTCTGTCCCGTCACCATGCAGCGAGCCTCAGCCACTTCACATGGCCTCAAAGTGCACCTAGCCTGGAACAAGTGCCGTAGTGACGTCGCTGACGCTCAGCAAAATAATGGTAGCTGTTGTTGTTGGTCTGCGTGTGTGTGGGCTATATGCGGGATCTTTGGCTTTGCATTTGTGTGTGTGTGGAAGTGTGAGCCGATGTTATTCCAAACATAGTAGGTGCTTGCTAAGAGCACTTTTCCCTATGGTCTATCTGGCTCAATGAAGCTTTGTCGTTGCGAGTGTTTAAGAGAGTTTATGTATATGTGGGAGAGTGTACTAATGTGCACACTAATGTATTTTTGTTTAACTTTCCAATGTTTAATATTGTATAAAGTGCATTTTACTCGAGGCACTAATAGATAATAACAATTTTTAGCCATTATTTATCCACTGCTACACGGAGGCCTCACCGTTCTACTTTAATAATGGGTGTTTGTTTGCCCATTCTTCACCACGCTAGCTTGTGCAGGTTGTTTAAGGGGGGGGGGATTGTATCAGTTTAAATATCACTCGTCACTGATGTTAGCCGTGGCCAGGAATCGAACTCGGATGGCTTTTAGTCTTGAGCGCAGGGTGCAGCCAACTGTCACCAATCCACCCCCATTTAACTACAAAATATAATACGATGGCAAATTATGTTGCATTTATTTTATCTATAATTTTTTTGTGTCATTCAATTTTAAAATCTATTTGATACTTTTGAGAATATGATCATTTTATTTATTGAGCAATTTAACTAAATCAACATTTAGTTATACGAGGCCCTGACCTCGCAGTGAATCCTCCACATGACCACTGGCTCGGGGTAGATCGTTGATATGAGTGTCATCCCAATGTCTGAATATAAGAATATATTTTTAAATTGTTTTACAGGTGTAGCTTTGATGCTGTGCAGTAACGCTTCATGCAATGTTCTTGCAATCCAGAGGTTGCTGCTTTGTGCGGCAGTTGAGACAACAGTGCGCATGTCTTAAGTTCCCCCTGCTACCTCTGTCTAGCCAGTAGTGGCAATGGGTGCACAAACAGTGTGTGACTGTGGTCGTTTTATCTGGATGTGACATTGTAGTTGTTGCTCTGCATCTACATCGGCCACACGAACTAAGAAGAAGTTAGTCGAGAGGCAGGTTGCTTGTAAAGTGTGAGTTCCCCCACCTCTGGGAAATCGTTGGGTCAGTGTGGAGGAGTAGGCTAAATACTGCCAACAAGGGCTCTGTAGAGCGTCCGATGTCGATGTCCTAATGTAAGCAGTGGCATTCACAAGCAATTTCAGGGCTGCACCTTTACCTTTACATATGTTTATACTGTATAACTAATTTGCAATAAGTGATTGTGAAAATAAGCACTTTTAATAATGAAAAAAAAATGCAGGAGATAATACCAGAGTGCAACATGTGCCAGCAACATTTTATGATTTTACTCTTAATAAAATAAATGTACGTATGTATATAGTAATAGGTGTTTGATTAGTGAATGCTTTGGTTGTTACGCAATGTCTTATAGGTAACTATTCATATATCAAGTAGAAAACACTTCATCAGTAGTTTTTAATATGTTATTCTAATCAGGTCCCAACTAGTATTTACTCTATCTATGAAACGTTGCCTATTATACCCTTTTCCTTTTAAGGCCACAGTGTTATTGGCAAAAATGTTCAGGTTTTTGTTGATGTCGTTAAAAGTGATTATGGATGGCGTTGATCCATAATCACTTTTGACGATAAAAACATGAAGAAAAAACATGTATGTATGTACAGTGTAAGTTGAGCACGCTTCACAATTACCGACTGCATGAATACCCGAGTCTTCTGCTCAAAGGCAGTCCTCCATGAGGGGGGCCTCAATGCTAAATGTATGGCAGTCGATGATGGGGGCCTCAATGCTAAATGTGTGGCAGTGCATGAGGGGGGCCTCAATGCTAAATGTGTGGCAGTCCATGAGGGGGGCCTCAATGCTAAATGTGTGGCAGTCCATGAGGGGGGCCTCAATGCTAAATGTGTGGCAGTCCATGAGGGGGGCCTCAATGCTAAATGTGTGGCAGTGCATGATGGGGGCCTCAATGCTAAATGTATGGCAGTCCATGAGGGGGGCCTCAATGCTAAATGTATGGCAGTCCATGAGGGGGGCCTCAATGCTAAATGTGTGGCAGTCCATGATGGGGGCCTCATGCTAAATGTGTGGCAGTTCACGAGGGGGGCCTCAATGCTAAACGTGTGGCAGATCATGAGGGGGGCCTCAATGCAAAACGTGTGGCAGATCATGAGGGGAGCCTCAATGCTAAACGTGTGGCAGATCACGAGGGGAGCCTCAATGCTAAACGTGTCCGTGTGAATCGTGCACGCAGCACAAACAAGCTCGCCCCCATTAGAGTCAGCCCACCAGCTGCTCCTGTAATTCTTTTCTTTCCTTCTCCCTAAGAGAGACTTGGCTTCTGTGAGTACAGTTTTATTGCCATTTCTAATAATGCGCACAACCACCCCCCCCCCCTTTGTGACTGTGCGACCCCCATCTCTATTCAACGCACAGGAATATAGATTCTCACGTTACCAGGCTCCCCCCAGTGCTGTAGCTACAACAACCCGCGCGGCCCCGCCGACTCACGACATCCAATTACCTTCTCAAACAACTCCAATCCAGTAATTGTTTTATATATATATATAAATTGTCCTTTGAAAATAAATAATATAAAAGGCCACCCAATCACATGGAAATAAGGAAACTCTCCTTTCTTCATAAACACTAGGGGCCTGAATAGTGTGTAGCTTGGATGTTTCGATCGTCTAATTGTTTCCTTTGTTTGGTGCGAATGCGACATTGTCTCCATTACCAACAATACGGCCACTTGCTAAGTGCGGTTTTTGGTCGATTCGTCGATGCGTGAATGCCACCTCATATGTTTTATAGGAGCAGCTGGATATGGCCAACCTTTTGGAACGAGGTCACGTGTGCTTATATCCGAAACAGTGTGCTCGTATCGAGAAGTTTCACTTTCGCCTTCTGCACCACTGTTGTATAGTAAGCATGTGGTGCTTATATTAGAACTGTGCTTATACCCAGTTGTCGCTGTATCAATTGGGGACCCCTCATCAGTATTAATGAAGCTGAGAATCTGATCAGCGGTGACAGAATTCTGCGTGCTTTGACTACGAATCCCAGTCTCAAACGCACAAACTAAACACATTAGCAATACCGTAGCAATTCTACGAAGTGTTACTCTGAATTGTTTCTGATTCCTTTTATTGTAAAAATTAAAATGAATAACCGAGGCTATCAACAGGCAACTTTAAGCGAAGCTAACCAAGTAGAAGATCCATAGATTTGATCTTCCACGAAGCTCATGGACCACATCTTCACAAACCATGGCAGATGCGGATACCAAATGCGAGATTTTTAATTCTCGAGTGTGCGACTGTGGTCATCCAGAACAGACCTGTACAACATATAGCGAATCAATGCCCGATCCACAAATACGAAAGAGAGATCACAGCGATATGCTCCGCTGGTCCTGACGCCGTTATCCGCCTTGACCACCTGAATGCGAATTTGTAGTTTTGGCTCTGCATCTACATACATCAGCCATTCGAATGAAGAAGAAGTGTCACTTGGGGGTAATGGTTAACATGGGCGAGCGTGGCTAAATAATGTGAACGCACGTGCTGTCAGCTTGACAGGTGAAGCATGTGGCCTTGTGTGCTAACTGTCCTTTGCCAAACGCTTGCAGATGTTTGGCCTTCAATTGGGGGGAGGGGGGTATTCTTTGTTTGTTCGTATGGAACATGTCTAGGTAAAAATAAACCCGTTTAGATTTCAGACGTTTGGCGCGAAAGAATAAAACTATTCTGGCAACGTAAATCTACCACTTCATAGGTTTTTCAACTTGTGCTCATGCTTGCTCGCAACCTAAAGCAATCGAACCAGATTTTAAAGTTTCCTCCCAACCATACGGGCCGAGCAGGTGCCGAACATCGCACGCTAACGCACAGTCCGCCGCAGTTCATCAGCACATGTACCGCCTTTGTGGGGCGCGTTTGCTCTCCTCTTGTTGGGGGCCTTTGTTGCGTCTCCTGGCCGCTCCGCGCGGCTCCCAAGCTTGCGAAGATCGCCCTTGTGACGCGCCGTGTCTCTTCCTGACAAAAGGGGGGCAGGGTCCATGAGAACAGATCGTGAGCACCCCCCCCATCACCCCCTCTCCTCCGCCACTCGCTTCCCATGATCCCCACCCATGTTGCCGAAACGTCCCGTAGCCCTGCTGCTTGTGCCGGGATGCGGCTGATTTATGAGGGCAGGTGATGAAAGGCAAAGCTGCTGCTGCTGCCGGCCACTGTGACCCACTAGAAAGCACCTCTTCTTACACGTGGACACTCGGGTCGTGAGGAGTTCAAGCCCAGCCTCCAAGTGTGGCTCTTTTTTTTCTTTCTCTGCGCGAATGCTTAAAGCAGATATTGAAATAGAATGTGACCCTTTTATATAGGGTGCTTCAAAAACATGTTGACACTTATATGGGACTATATTTTTAATGGAAAAAGAACGGATACTACCGTACACTGTAACATGATAACACATTTATGTTAATAGCTTCAAAAAGTCAAAGAGTCTCTACTTGTTCGCCATCATTGTCAACAGATCCCTGCAATATTATCCAGGTGGGCTCCAGAGCGAGAGAGTTCGTCGGTTTTGATTGGTGCCCCCTGCAACCAATAGAGGCCCTAAATGCACCACAACGTTAAACAAGAATCGACCCTGGAATGAAATCGCAACTCCCGAATGATTGCAATTCATCAAGTCCGAAGGCGAAATTGATCATTGGCCAACTATATCTAATAAAAACAAAACATTCGCACACCTGTATGGGAAATGGAAAAATGCCTGCTCTATGGAGAGACTGGCCATCCATGCAGGTGAGAACACACAATAGTTACTTTGACTCTTCATGAGAGTATTCGTTGTATTACAGCAAATATCCTGTTCTCGATTGGGAAAAGTAAGCTAAAAAAAGAAGTCGGTGAACTGCATGCATTCCCATACGTATGAACAGATGCGTTTACACATGAGCGGCAGAGTGGTTACACTGCAATATGAACCTGGTGAACTGAGTTATATTCTTGGCCATGGCTAACATCATTGGCAAGTGATATTGAACCAATCACCCCCCCTCCACCCCTCCAATGCCCCTATTCACCATCCCGCACTGATCAGCGTGGTGAAGTCTGCAGTCTAACGTGGGGAGGTGTACATCCACAACTGGACTGACAAAGGGCTGTACATTGTTTCATTATTATGCATACACAATTTTATTGCATCGCGCACTTTCAGATGCGCTTCTGCGGCCGTCTGGAATACTCTTCCTTCCGATGTTAGGAAGCCACTGGAGCTACGCACTTTTAAACCTAGATTAAAAACTAATTTTATTTAGAACTGCGTTTCGTGTTTAGTTTGGTGTCCTTCCCCTGCACGTTGAATTAGCACGAATGGCTACATAGGGTGAAAATTAATGTCAACGTACAAAGATACATTGCAAAAAAAAACCCACTTATTATTTGAGAGTAAAATGGTCAAAATGATGTCAATTTAGAAGGCGACTGCAACAGCAAATTCTCGCAGAGGAAAATTTGTTAAATAAATAACATTCGCGAAGCTCCATTCATATACAAATCGAAATGCCTCTCTGCTTTCCCGCAGGACCTGGTGGCTGTGAGTTCACAACAACAGCGCCTCGCAAATGGACATGGTAGAAAGTAGAATGGCATTTTTTTGAACAGCTGTAATAGACTCGTAGACTGTTACATTCATCAAATCTGGAAATGATGTGAAAATCCGATAACCGACACGTAGTGCAGGCCAGAAGAAGAAAAATAATCAAACAACACACGAAGCAACGAGCACAACAAGCACTCAGCTTTGTTCATTATGGAAAAAAATAAACCATCAACATTTCTTGAACAAGTGCATTGTCACCATCAAAATACATTTCAGAAAATGTGACCGATTGACAGCGGTGATGGAATTGCTGTGGGCTTCATGGTAAGAGACACACAAAAGTAATATGCCTTCACAGTCCGAGCTGTGAGTTCACAACAATGCGTCGTAAAAAGTGGCAACGTGACTCCTGGCACAGAGTTCACTTTACCTGGTAGCACTTCACATTAAAATGCCTCGCATTGTAATGCGATGTGTGATGGCCTATAGTAGGTCACGGAGTGAGTCCCAACATCTACCATGTAATGAAATTCATGACGCAGTGTGCTATTCTAATGTCACACATTCTGGGTGGTTGATGCTGGGGTGTCCCAAAAGCTGTTGTCGTTCAAATACCGGCCGGGAGATTGATTCAGCCCAAACATTCCTCTTGGATCAATAACATCGCTACCGCATTGTGAGAAGTAAACAGTGGATGCCCTGTGGCATCGTCACTGCAATTCAGAATCTCCACCGCTGACAGCAGGATCAGCAATGAGCACACCGCCCCCACCCCATGGTGACTTTACAAAAGAAAATTCGATTATATTACTGTACTATTTTATTATTTTTTACCTACGTGACTTTACCGAAAAAAGACAAAGAGAATGAATCCTTGCAGCCACAAAGGCTTCAAATCTAGAATTTACTGTACTGTTTATGTAATCGTAACCGCAGACATTTACGTGCTACAAAGAAGGCCCATTGTGTGAAACGTTACGTATTATAGGCCACACGGTGTTATTGACGGATGTGTCGAGCTTGTTGTTATTCGTGCTACGTGCACCACTGCCAATGTAGCAGCGTCGCCAAATAAGTTGCTTGACTTTTAAAGCATTTAATTAACACTTCATAACTCAAATATTCGCAATGTATTATTATTATTTACAATTTAATTATTATAATGAGAAAAAACTACTGTACGGTTTAAATGCTCTCTTTCTGGTAGATTTTATTACCATCAACTACCACCATTTTACGAGAATCAAAATCACAATGTCACCAATGCTCCCCAAAAAAAAAACTGGAGGAAACTAAGTTCTACCAGAATATTTCAAGACACAGTGTGGAGCTTTGTTTAGAGTTTGATGCTGATTGGATCAAGCATGTGCCTTTGGAGAAGCCTACGCTTAAACTCTGCATAAGGGGTGCAGAATGATTTAGGGGCAGGTTTATCCACGTTTTTCTAACTCGGTGGGGCCATTAAAAGTAACCGAAGATTGACTGTACAGCTCTGCTTTCAGCTTAACTCAAGTGGGCACATTCTGCAGTAAGGAATACGGGCAATTTCTTGCAGGCCCCTACACTCTTTCAACATATTTTGATTTTTCTGGCCAATTGTACCCTGATTTTTCTGTCTCGACACAGCAGGGAGCTTTTCCATCACCGAATCCCATAAAGGAAGCAAAACAAAAATCACATCGCACCAGGGAATTAACCCAAAAAAGGGACACCAGAGAACTGGTATTTCTTGAACACGTCTCTCTAGAGACCACGAATAATCATATGCACAAATGTTCAGCCCTTTGTAAATCTACTGCTGGATGAAAGCCTCGGTCACAGGAGTTGATTGACCACATCATAATCAGAAATGTATTACCTATTGAGCTCAGCAGCTCTTTGTCAAGGGTGACTTGGCTAGGAGACTCACTCGGCAGCAATTATTACAAATCAATGGTTAAACGTGATGAAAAAAAAGATAATTTTAACAATATCATCTTACTTTAATATTCAATGATACTAGCCGTGGCCACGAATCTAACTTGTGAGTGTAGTGTGCTAACAACTGCCTGGTGGGCACCATGGCCAGAGCATTCGGCTCACAGCCAGAGAAATATTGGTCGCTTGTTGACCCAGCCTATCATCTCTCTGAGGTGAATAAAGTGAGGACCAATGTGCAGCAATTCAGCAGTGGTTATATTATGGGAAAACTCAACCAACGCATAGGAAAAAGGTTATTCTTTCTCATGAGGTCACCAAAAGAGATGAGAGCCATTGCTTTATCATTCTGGATTAATATGTAATATGATCCATTTTGTTAGGAATCCTTACTTTCCCTCTTGAGATTTAGATATTTTTTCAATACAAATGAATTACAAATGCTCATTTAAATGTGTAACCATGTGGTTCATTAAAAAAACAATCGATACGTCTACCTATCTGTATATCTATCTATCATGTGCTTACATATATTTGAAGCTATACTGGTAGGAACCTCCTGGTTACACCAGCCCACAGAGGATTATTGTGTCCGTCCGTCGTGCATCTAAAAATGGGAGGGGTGGGGCTGGGTGAAGAGGGGAAGGTGGGGAGGGTCTGGGTGGGGAGGGGCTGGGTGGGGAGGGGCTGGCCACCCCGTGGTGCCCTTATAAAACTCAACGCTTAACATACTCACGCCGGCTTGTGCCCGCCCTCACAGTCGGCCATATTTGCGGAATACACCACGCCGCCGTTGACCCTGGCCATTGACAGAGCAACCCAACGTTCCTACCAGCTCCCTCCGCAGGAATGTGTTACATGGAGTAAAAGGCAAAGATAAAGATGCAGCCCTGCAATTAATAACTCGCGTCACTGCCGGCAGAAGTGCCTCCAAAAAAGGAAGCTCCAAAGAGCCACTCGAGATGGAATTTTGGCCTACTCCTTCATGCTAGCCAGAGACGTCTCGGAAGAGCTAGCAGTACCCACGCTTCACTCCACCACATGAGACCTACCAGTCAGCTTACTGTGGTGCACTAATTTATCTCAGAAGAATCAGGATCTGTATGTCGATTGGATGAATCCGAGAAGCTTTTAAGCTCTTTTTTCACAGATGTCCAGATGTGGTCATCCCACTGGGTGGACAACGATGGGGGAGGATGTAAGACACCTATATGTTGTTTCGGTAAAGTCACGTAGGTAAAAAATAAATAGTAAACCTAAATAATAAAAATTATAGAAATAATAATAGAAATAAAATAATAAATCACGACGTTTCGGAGGCAACACAAGCTTCCGTCTTTAGGTGAAACCGTCACAGCACAATTGCTGTATCAAGTAAAGAGAAGTCCCAAGAGACCCGACCTTATATATACTGGTTAAGGGGGGAGGAGCCAGGATGGGCCGCGGGAGAGGAGTTGTTGTGAGATGGTCAGTACGGCTGCTGGGACTGAGCCTTTGCAATGTAGATGGCAGA